CTAGCCCTACACCTGTCAAACCCATTCCTGCCTCCTCCACTTACCAATATTCCCCATTCCTTTTCTCCTTCCCCCTGACCTAACTCCATCCCATTCATCTTACAAGAAACCTTTCCTAATGATCTTAGCCCACATCGCTCTTCTTTGAAGTCTGCAGGACATCCAGTCTGTGTGGTACAGGGTAGGCCTCTGCTTGTGTTTGGGTCCAGGTGGCAGCCAGGCTGGGCTGGCCTACGGTGCCACCTGATGATGCTCTGGCGAAGTGCTCCTCCAGTCCGAGTTTGCTCCTGAGCAGTGAGATCTTGGGAGGTGGAAAGAGACTGGGATTATTTTCTTTTCTAACCACTAAATACCTCAGAATGCATTTTCTACGGACACAGGTGTTATTTTATGTAACCACAATGTAGTGATCAAAACTCAGGAAATTTAACATTAACATGTTATTAACAATCCACAGTCCATATTCACATTTCATCAATTGCACAAAGACTGTCATTGCTTTTTTTTTTCCTGGTCCAGGGGCACACTTGGCAGTTAGTTGCCGCATTGCTGTAGTCTTCTTTAGTCTAGGATCGTTCCTTAGCCTTTCTTTGTCTTTCCCAGCCTTGACACTTTCGAGAAGTACAGACCAGTGATTCTGGTCCCAGATTGGGTTTGTCTGATATTTTCTCATGATTACATTCAGGTTACATGTTTTAGGCAGGGCTGCTGTCTGCATATGTGATGCCGTGGCCTACTCAGTGTGTTAGTTGATTCCAGCATTGACGAAGGTTTCTTTGATAACTTGGGTAGGGTTGCTCCTCCAGCTCTCTCCACTGTGAAGTTACAGTTTTCTCCTTTGTAATTAATCACTGATTTACAGGGAGATGTTTTGAGACAATGTAAATGTAGGATCTGTTTTCAGTCTTCCTTGGAGAGCCTCCCCCGGTTGGGAGGGAGCCGCAGATATAGAGTGAAGGTCCTCTGGCCAGTTTTTTATCTGGTAACTATCTGGTGAGAACACTGAGTCACATTTGTAGAGTAGTCATTACATGCCAAGTCTTTTAAATGCTTCACATATGTCGACTCCTTTGCTTTTCATATTCTCCCTATGAGATGAGCATGCATACCATCTTATTTTATACCTGGAAAGCAGGCACTGAGAGGTTAAGGCTCTTGTCTAAGGCTGTGACAACCCCTGAGTGGTAGAACTGGCATTCAAACCCGGTGGGCCTCATTGCCGCGCTGGGGCCTTGTACCTGCCATTCTGCTTGCCTGCTGCCATGGGCAGCTTACACGTGTGCTGCTGGACACACGACGCTGCTTCCTGACCTCTGCGGGCTCCTCTCCTCTGCCTGTGGAGGTCTTCAACACCATGTAGTCTCCACTGTCCCTGACCTGCTTGGTTTTTTGACTGAAAGCCTCACTGAAATCTTTTTTCTAGGCATGATAGACAGACTGGGAAGAAGCCAAAGGCTTTTCATTTTGAGATTGGAGTCCATGGGCCTTGTCCTGGAAGCCAGAGGAATCCTTCCTATGTGGATAAATTTAACATTTGAGCCTATGCTAAAGGATGAGGAGGCTTTTGCCCGTGAGGGAGTAGCAGATATAGAACTTGCCCATCTTCTGTCAGCAACCAGAAAACAGGCCAAAATAAATGAAGCAACTTTGCAAACATTGGACAGCAGGCATCAGAACAGCGAGCCTAAAGAATAATGAGGTGAGCCCTGTGGTCCTCCCACCAACATTCTGCTGAAGGCAGTTTCCAGATCTCAGAGCAGCTAGGAGGAACCCATGCGGAGCCCAGCAGTCTCACTGCATTGAGAAGACAGATCTGAGGAGGCCAATGCAATTGGAATTTGCAGGGGACAGTATGGAGAAGAAAGAGCTATGCAGAAGAAGAGCTCTCTGCCTTAGCTTAGGGGTCTTCTTGAGACTTTTTATGAACAGATC